CGGCAGAGCCTCTTCCGAACCTGCCCGCGTTCCGCCCGAGACCACGTCGGAGAAGGTGTGTGGTGGGGGGGAAAAAAAATCTTGAGGGCCCCCCCTCCCCCCTCCACTTATCCCGAATCCGAATCGCTGGTGTCTGAAGAAGACGAACTGGAACTGGAGCTGCTGGAATCCGAACTGGAACTGGAAGCGCTGAGGCGGGAGACGGCGACTTGTTGAGCCGATTCGGGTTTTTCGCTGGCTGCGAGGACAGGGCAGGAGGTTCAGGTGGTGAAAAAGGGGGGAGAACGCGATGCGGCAGCGCCGCGACCACCGCGGTGGCACTCACCCTTCTTTGGGGGCTTCTTGGTGGAGTTGAGTTGACCGCTGACATCCTGCAGCCTCTTCTCCAGCTCCCGCTTCTTCTCCAGCGCCAGCTCCTCTTTCGTCTTCCCCACCGGCTTCTTCATGGCTGCGGGGAGAAGAGGGGAGGCTCAGTTGGGGCTCAAGACCCCTAAAAACCCCCCCCAAAAACCCTCCTGGTGGCGCTCACTTTCGCTGTAGGGCTTGCGAGGTTTTTTCCGCAGGCAGGAGAGGACGTAGCGCTCCAGTTCCCGTAGGGTGGAGGGTTTGAGGGTCTCGAAATCGATCTCGATCTCCTCGGGGTTGGAGTCGCGCAGGGAGGGCTCCCGCGACTGGATGATGTGCACCACCCGCCCCAGTTTCTCGCCCGGCAGCTTGTTGATGTCCAAACTCAACTGACGCTTCTCGTCGTAGGTCATGGGTTTGCTCTCTTCCTCCTCTTCCGAATCGTAGAGAGCTGGAGGAGGCGGCAACGCCGTTTTCGCCGCCTTCTTCGAGTTCCTGCCGGGAGAAAAAACGGCATGGCGGCGTCATGGGGATGCTGCAGAAATCCCTCCCACCCACTGCCAAAACCCGCGTGAGGGGTTGGCAGCGCTCAGACGGGGTTTGGCTTGTTCTGATCGCTTCCTCGCCACGGTCGCTCCGCCGGGGGAAGAGTCATCACCGCCGCCGCCACACCCCTCCACACC